CCTTGCATCTTCCTATCTTCTGGTGGTGGCTGGAAGTCCTTGGTGGTCCTTACCTTCCAGTTACATCACCACAATTTCTGCTTTTGTCATCACATGGCATTCTCCCCATGAGTCTCAATCTTCATATAGTGTTTTCCTCTTATAAGGACACCAGTCATATTGGATTAGGGCCCACCCTAGTGACCTCATCTTTTTACATCTGCAAGAAACCTATTTCCAAATAAGGCCACAATCATAGGTACATGGGGTTAGGACTTCAACATATCTTTGGGTGGAGAGGGGGCACAATTCAACCCATAACACATTTTAATATTGATGGAGGCAAATGATACACAAATACCTTCTGATGTTAAATACCATATTTAATTGGCTCTGATGCACTTAAAACATTTTAAAATCTCTAAAATCAGGATGTGTTCTATATGGTAGTTTGAATTTCCTATTGCTCTGGGTGATGCTTTTCTGGAGCTTTCTGCTCAGAGCACAGAGGTATATATTATCTTGAACTCCACCTTCCTGTCTCCTTCCCCTTCCTTGTGTTACCAAGCTGCTGCCACATTTAGTGAAGAAACAAAAATAAAGTGATCTTTCTTAGCAATGTGCTCTAGAGAAACTACTTGTGCATCCACAGGGCAGTTAGCATGAGATGTTTTGTTTTTGGATGACTCACCCAGCCAGGTGACTGTGATGGAAGATCAGGCACTGCCTGAGTCATCCTGTGTCCCCATGGACCTAATCAGTGACCAGCCAAAGGTCAGTGGCAGGGCTGGGAACCCAGGCCAGAACTCCTCTCTGGCAGACAGTAAGAGAGATTATCCTCCCTTTTCACTAAATACCTCTCCTTCTGACTTTGCCCTTCCCTGAAGTCCCCTGGCCTCACTAGGGTGGCCCCTTTTTGCATTTTGACATCCTGTCTCACTGGACAGCATGTCCTCAAAATAGTTCTTATTGACGCATTATGACTTCCACTGGTTCCAACTCCCTTCCTCATTTTCCTTTTTTCTCCTCCCCCCCCCCTTTGTTTCTTTTCTGGTTCTGTGAATCTGGCTGAGGTGTCAAACCACAGCCTTCTACTTCTTCTTTCCAGGCAAACTCCTTGGCTGGTCTCGTCTATCTTTTCTAACGGGCCTTCTCTTCTTGGCCATCCCTCTTAGATTGGATTTTTGAACACTAAATATTCCCAACTCCATTTAGATGCCAGATCTGACAATTGGTCATTTCCCTCTATGCTTTCTGATGTTTTCTGGCTCCATGCCCCCACCAACCCCGTGTTCAGGACATACTCAGCTGTGTGTATGGTGTCTGCAGGGGGAAAAAAAAGAAAGTAAAACCCTTCACCTGCCTTGGGACTCAGGATAAAACAGCAACAACAGAAACAATAGCAGCTGTAGCAGCAGCATTTGTTGAGTTCTCTGTTTGCCAGGCCTCGTGCTCAGAATTGGACAGGGATTACTCGCATCATTACCCTGTGAGGACCAGAGCCAGTGCACTGTATTTCCATGCTCCGGCTAAACTGTCAGAGGAAAAGGGTGGTAGGAATTGTTCATTTTTTTCAATGACAAAGTTCCAGTGAAGACCCCCACTTCTCTAGCAGCTCTGAATCTGGGCCCTTGAGGCTGAATAGGAACATTGGCCCATGAATGACTGGAAACAGGCCCAAACTCCTTTCACATGTTCAGGAGGGAGGGGTGGCCTCGGAGCAGCAGCTTATTGAATCAGCATGGCCCAAGCTCAGAGACTTCTGATGAATCAGTCACTTTCAGCCACCACATTCCAGGGAACCTTCCCTTGGTGGCAGGTCTTGGTAGGGGGTATCATGGGGTGGGGGTCATTGGTTCTCACGAAGTCAACCTGTGATTCATTGGAAAGAGGTGGTAAGGGGAACTGGGGAACCATCACTCTCCAGGCGTGACTTCCTAACGAACAAATCCCTGTAGCTCCTCATGCTCTGGGGTCAGGGACCGCCCGTTCACAGGGAGGGGGCTGCCTGTTGTTTATTTCACATCTGGCAAGGCCTTCTATTGTGGCTGCAAGTCAAGGACTCATAGGGAAACACTAATTTCAGAATGAATGGATGGATAAATATATAGACTAGGAAAAGTTCTCAAAAATAATTGGATGGTGCCCACACCCTCCACCGTCCTCTTCTCTCTTCTAACTCTT